AAGATGTTACCCGAGGGGGTGGGCACAACCCCCACTGATTTTTTCTTTTGATTTAAATTAAATTTAAATTTGAACAAGGGGTTGACTCATATCCAAAATATAGAAGGAGAAAGCCAGAAGATGGAGGTCACATCAACAAGATCATTGAGTAATATTGAAATGCATCATATATATATATATTTTTTTTTTTTCATCTTTTGGTTCATTGAGACAGCAAAAATATTTGTGCGTTTAATTTAAATTTTTTCCAATTTGAGGATAATGTGTTGCACCAAATGATTATTACCATTTTCGATCGCTGCAAAACGCTTTCATGGTGAAAAACTAAGTCGAAAACCAGATGTAAAAACGTTTTCTCAAACCTGCGGATTCTTTAGTGTATCGAGGAGCTTGTCAAAACGTTTATTGCAAATAATCAACATCTGCGGAAAAATATTATTGCAGTTTATTTTTGTAAAGAATAACGATGATAAAAGAACGAAAATTTTTGCTGTCTCAACCTAACAAATCATGAACTGGACTGTGTAAACAATATGATATAAATGTCAACACTGATTTCTTGAATTTGTTTTACATCCATAATTGAACCCTGGATGAGAAAAGATGACTTTTTTAAATATTATTGCAGTTTATTTTCTGAAACGAATAATGATGATAAAGAACCTTTCCTTTCAAGACCCTTCGTCTTTGTTATTTTCAAACCTTCGTCTGATGTAATCTCTGAACTGAATTTCCGAGACGAAAACAATATGATATAAATGTCATCTTTGATTTTCGTCAATTTCGTTTTAACAATCCATCGATTTTATCTGAACCCTGGATGAGAAAACATCATTTTTTCCTTTCCAAATAATGATCTTTGTCATTTCGACACCTTTCGACTTTTGTCTGAGACGACGATAATAACATTTTTCTGCTACGATCCTTTCCGAATAGACCCTTCGTCTTTGTTATTTTCGTCACAACACTTCGTCTGGTGTAATAATCTGTCGTCTTTTGTCTGAATTTCCGAGACGAGATAACATCATTCTGCTACGATCCTTTCCAAATCTTTGATTTTCGTCACAACACTTCATCTTTAATAATCTGTTATTTTGTCTCAGACGAACATCATTCTGTCTGGTTTAAATAGATCTGTCGACTTTTCGACTGAAATTCTCGAGAATTTCCGAGATAACATCATTTTTCTACGATCCTTTCCAAATAGACCCTTCATCTTTGTTATTTTCGTCACAACACTTCGTCTGGTGTAACAATCTCTCGATTTTGTCTTTTTTCCGTCATGAATCCTTTCCAAATAGACCCTTCATCTTTGATTTTCGTCACAACATTCGTTCTGCTTTTGTCTTCTTTCGATCCATTCTGCTATAGATCCTTTCCGAATAGACCATATGTCTTTGTTATTTTCGTCACAACACATCGACTGGTGTAATAATCTCTCGATTTTGTCTGAATTTCCGAGACGAGATAACATAATTCTTCTACGATCCTTTCCAAATAGACCCTTCATCTTTGTTATTTTCGTCACAACAATTCGTCTGGTGTAATAATCTGTCGTCTTTTGTTTCTGAACGAGATAACATTCCTTTCCGAGACTTTGAGATAGTAAATAATCTCTCGATTTTGTCTTTTCGAGACATAACATCATTTTCTCGAAATCATCTTTGTTATTTTCATAAGTCTGGTGTAACAATCTCTCGATTTTGTCCCCAATTTCCGAAGATAACATCATTTTCTACGAAATTGACCCTTCATCTATTTTCGTCAATCTGGTGTAATATCTCTTTTTTTATGAATTTCCGAGACGAGATAACATCATTCTGCTGTCCTTTCCGAATTACACAGATTCCTCACTATCTTCTAGATCCTTTCCAAAATAGACCCTTCATCTTTTATTACGTCAAAGTTCGTCTTTAATGTGTCTTTTGTCTGAATTTCCGAGACGAGATAGTAACATTCTTACATAATTCGAAATCGACACATACATAAGAAAGATAAGATAATACATTAGGTATTTTACAAGAACACTTTTTTGCTCAGTCCCCTCGACCACTGTCAGCCTGGAATCGATATTACACCTCTCTTATCACAGTGAGAAGATACTGCGGCAGGGTTGGAATCGCCGGGACTGGGCGCTTTCTCTCATCTAAAATGAGGACAGGTACTTCAGCGTGGGGTAATGGTTAACAAGACTATACTGTTTTATCATTACTAACACATTCAGTTCTCACTGTTACTCTATTCGATATGAAATAAACCAACAGGGGTTGACATCTAAAATCAAGTTAAATATAATCGTTTCACTAGGGTTCTCATTGCGAAGCTCTTTCTCAAGGATAGCGAAATGAAATAGTTCCAAGTGAAAAGTTTTAAAAATATCCAGTTAAAAGTATTGCATCCTTTGTCTCTCTTCCTCGACACCACATATTTATTTTATCTTATTTATTTGTCCCCCAACCGGACTCTTTGCTTTCTTTTGTTTAGTTTTTAAATATTTTTCCCTACAAAAATCAGTATCGGTTTCCATTCTGCCTGTGAACTTTAGACCTTGTGCCTGGGTATTGCAACGGTGGGAAAAAAAAAGAAAAAAGAAAAAGAAACGTTTAATTTGACTCGTAGCCGATAAACCAAGATATGGAGGGGTACATCGGCGGGTTGGTGAGGCATTTCTTTCGGGTTTCGGAGTTTTGAAGGAAAGTGCGAGCTGGGTGTTTTGGGTGTTGGTGATGATGTTAGCGATAGGGCGGAAAAAAAGTTTCGTCAAAAGTCGCGACGTCTCTGCAATGGGGCGTCTACATTGATAATGATCTCAAACCTGCGCACAGGGTCACTTGCACGATTTTATAAACTCCCCGATACCATTCACGCCCGCACCGCAACACGCCTCACATCGGCAGCCAACGTTTTGTGTACACTATTTGCTGTCAGTGGCAGGCAGTTCATATGTTTTGAAAAGTAAATATTTTATTTTTTTGATTTTAATTTAAACTAACGTCGACTGTGATGTGAAATTCACATAAGGGATTAATATAATTAAATCACTTCATTTGATAAAGAGAGAAAAGAGAGATAATTTCACACGCAATTCAAATTCGACAGAGTGGAGTAGTGTTGCGTACCTCGAAAGCATTTAAGATATTATTTATTGCCATTGTTGACAATCTTTTTGCTAATTGGACAATAAATCATTGTCATAATCATCATCATAGTTTCCATGACTGAATGTAGTCATAAGATTGTTGCGCAGCAGAACATCTGACCAGTTCCCTTCATAAACCTCGGCTGCGTGCGCGTCTCTGAGTCTGTGTGAATGATCTAGCAGTCTACTCAGTGACGTCAGCGCATGTTTTCCCCATCTGTCTACGTCTTCTTTTGCCTAAGATGGTATCTTGTAGGATGACATTGGAAGGATTGTTGGTTCTGATGACGTGTCCATACTATTACGTTGTCCCAAAAGCTCGTAAACACTTGCGAAAAATCAAGATCCGCACGAAATCACCGAAGCATAAGCCAACAGACGAGTTGAAATTTGCCGTCAATTGCTCAGCAGTCCATTGGAAGAGCGTTTTTGGAAACGCATTGTGACATCGGACGATAAATGGGTCTATCCGGTCCAGCACAATCGAGACAAGCGATGGGTTCAGAAAGGGCAAGAGACACCGTCGGTTCCAAAACAAGATCGATTCGCCAAGAAAGTCATGTTGTGCGTTTGGTGGAACTTTGAAGGAATCGTGCATTTTGAGTTGGTTCCGAATGGTCGTGCCATCAGTACCGAACTTTACTGTCAGCAACTGGAGCGGGTCTGCGAAAAGTTGAAGCAAAAGTACCCGGCTCTGATAACCGAAAGCGCGCTTTGATGCAGCAGGAGAATGCCAAGCCACACACCGCCAGGAAGACCAAAGACAAGTTTGAAGAGCTGGACGGCGTTGATGTTCTGCCACCTCCAGCCTAAAGTCCTGACTGTGCTCCATTAGATTACGGCCTTTTCCGCTCAATGCAACACTTTCTGAAGGGTCGCCGATTCGACTCGTTTGATGAAGTCGAGGAAGCGTGTCAAGAATTCTTTGATTCGAAGCCGTCTGAATGGTACTTTCACCAGATCCGAAAGCTTGCAGATCGATGGCAGAAAGTCTTGGAAAATGATGGTCTTTATTTTGAGGAATAATTTTTTTGCAAGTGTTTACGAACTTTTGGGATAACCTAATATTTCAAATTTCTCTTCTTGATGGTGGTTATGAGGATTTTATTCAATGGACCCGTTTTTTCTTTGATGGCGTCTCGCAGCGCCTTGTTTGTGACGCGGCCTACGTAGGTGATGTCTGGGATATTTCTACAACATCTCATATCTAATGCTTCGCTGTAATTCTGATGGCCAAGATTCACAGGCGTACGGAATGCGTAAAAAACACCAAAGCACATAGCAGTCCAGATATTTCATTTTTGACAGATGTTTTCGTCTTTCAAGAATGGTTTTTAGTTTTTCTTCAGTTTCCTCTGTTCGGATTATTTTGAAATTATTTCCATTCTGAAACTCTTTTCACTGATAATCGAGCCAAGATTTTTTAATTGGTTTAATACTTTAAGCAAGAATTATTTAATTAATTATAACCGATAACAAAGAAATTATTGCTGTCTATTCTGTTTAACTACCATTCAGTTTATTTCATCTTGACTATGCAAAAAAATCAAGATAAAAGATTAATTAAACAAAAGACTGATCAGGGCACCTGGATAATAATTTTTGATTGATTCATTCATTTTCTACGACTTGTCAACCCATTGCAGGTTATTTAAAGCCATAAAATATTTTTAATTTGTAAATAATAATCTTGTAGTAATAACATGATATGTCTTACTAATTAACCCATATCTGGAGGGAAAAGGTGGATTTATATCTTTCCCAAGGGTATTTACGCGCAAGTGAATATAAAGGACCCAATTGGAATTCGAACTCGGCTCTCCGATTAACAATTATCCATTACAACATGCGCACATCCAAGCATACAGCACCTGGTATTCCCAAGCGGTCACCCATCTAGGTACTGACCAGGTTCCACGTGGCTTAACTTCGGTGATCGTATGGTGCTTCAATGTGATGTCACCGTAAGTCCGATGGATAATAGATAGTTAGCTAGTCTGATTGATTATTGCTGTTGAGTAGTGTGCTTGATTGATTATCAGCGATTATCCATACCAGTCGCCTGGTACTAAATTAAGTTTAGTAAATGATAACAACGGATAGATCGAATGCTGAAATCCATTTGCATAATTGTAGTTGAATAGACGTTTCGATTGATCCATTCTTCATCAGGTAGGTACCTCCACGAATTCCATATACCGAGGGTTTAAAATGATTTTATTAAAATGAAAAAGCTTTCATGAAGTTTTTAGTTTAGCTTTAAATGAAAGCTAAAGTATTAAATTTACTATATTCGGTAAGCAAAATACTTTTGGTGTGTTTCAGATAGAAATTATATTGTTTGGAATAGAGTTGCATTATTTTTCGGTAAAATAGATCACGTCAGCCATTTTTTAGACATTTGTAAACAAAACTTATTTTTCCGTTTTAAAAATCTTGCGAAAATAAAATATATATTTCTGAAACGTTATTTGAGTAAAATTAGCAAATTTAAAGTTAAGTTAATTTGATTTGAAACAAATATTACTTATAGCATAAAATGTTGTCTACAAGCTTTTTCTAAATACGGGGTCTTGTTTTTCTGATGTGTTTATAGATTTATTAACGGCAGATTGACCGCCAAACGTCGTGATAATTATCTATGGCGTAGAAGACGACAATTTTGATTAGGCTTTTGTTTTTGTTTATTTCTCGTGAGAGTAGAGGACAGTCCTTAAAACACGTGAATTTTTATTAATGAATTTATCGGTTTGTACATCCATATTTCAGAAATTCTGCATCGATATACATATATAAAAACAAATGGAAATTCAGATTGTAATAAGCGTTAAAATATATGATTAGTTAATAACAATATTCCCTAAAAATTATCTCACCGATATTGAAATTTAAGAACTTTATAGATTATTGAATTTTAAATTGTAAAAAATTGTAACAAATGAAAATAAATCTTGTAAAAATTCATTTTTCATGGAAAAAGTTTTTTCTTTAGAAAATATTGTCTTTAATATATATTATTTATGAAAGTAATTAAAAGCTTCTCTAATTAAATAATGTCTTAGTTTTATTGGGTTTTTTATTCGATTCAGAACAGATTTTCAGTAAGACGGGGTTTGATTTTTCAAAACAAAATTGGTGATTTAAGTTCTTCAAAAAATTCTGCTTTTATCTAATATAGTCACTACATATTATCTCGATGAATTTCTGAAGTTTTCATAAAATTAATAAGTGGAGAAAGACACGTAAAAACAATATTTTACCAAGATTTTCTAATAAAAAAATTAAAAAAAATAATTTCATTCATTTGTGAATAAGTCCTGAAAATTTCTTTATTTGAATTTTGCAAGAATTTCCAAATTGGTATGTCTGTTACCGCAAAAAGAGGTGAAACTTTGTCATCCTAAAAGTTAGTAAATACCGCCGACGCAAGAAAAACAAGTTTTTTTAATTGAAATCTCTAATGTTCTAAAAAGAAGTAGAAAAATTACTTTAACTTCTCCTCTTAATAATGGCATAAAGATTTGTACGATAAAACTATATTTTCATTATATTTGGAGAATGTTTTCATCACGGTATGCTGATTTTTTTTAGTGACTTTTTTTTAAGGATTTTTAATGATTTTTTAATGATTTTTAATGATTTTTTTTAATGATTTTTAATGATTTTTTTAGTATAATCAGTCAGTAACCCCCCCTAAAAAAACAAAAAAAAACAACAACAAAATCGAATGAATTAATTAAAAAGCTGTAAACCAAAGACTAAACTGAATACATTTCCATTACCCGTCATCCCAACCATCAAGACTATTTCATTATATCTTTCAATTAGAATGCTACATATGGTCCGGTGTCTTTGCTATTTACCCAGGGTTCCTTAATAAATCCATATAAGACTCAGAAATATTATTGACTAGCACTAGAGCCTGGCGTTGCCCGGGGATGTAACAGTAAGAGATAGATCAAGTATCGACCATCGTAAAGACTGAAAAATAAAATTGACAAAGATTATTGTTTAAGGTTGATGGACACGCATGTCTTAATTAGCTTTTTTTTTTTTTTTTTTGCGAATTTGTCAAACCCAAACTGAAACAAAAACATTGTTTTCAATCGTTATGAGTCTACCGATTGAATAGAATTTTATTATAAACAATTGTCTTGTAAATGGAATTTTTAAAGCATTCTGAATGTAAAAATAAAGAAAAAGTGTTCAAGACAATAAGAAACACTACCTTCCAAAAAAAAGTGAAGTTTTGTTGAAATCGGTTGAAAAATGTAGGAAATCCGATCCCATATATAAACGAACACACACACACACACACACACACACACACACAAACAACATGGGTTTTATAATAAGTATAACTCGATATGAGTTGTCTCCCTTTCATTCTCGCGACAGCGATGCCTCTTAATCGTGTTTTCAAATTGATTTCATGCAAAAATAATTGTTTTTTTTTCCAATTTCTGGAGCTGTCAGAACCACCGCAAGGTAATTTTACGTAGTCTTGTGAAGTTTTGTTGAAATCGGTTGAAAAGTGTAGGAAATCCGATCCAATATATAAACGAACAGACACACACACACACAACCTGGGTTTTATAATAAGTATGATTCTGATCTGGCTGCTCAGATTCAGTCACTTTCCCACCCCCCGTAAAGTTGCCTCCCTGTAGCTTTTCTATAAATAATTTCATAGTAATTGTTCGGATGAGCTCTTCACTATGGTATACTCATTGGGGCTAGTTTTTAAATTGTTGCTTTATTCCCTCCACCCAGACAATGAATTGTACATATGGGAATTAGTTAGGACTTTCATGGATACAATGACGTATTATGTTAGATGTAGTAAGTAGATTTACTTGAATCCTTCCCCCACCCCCACCAACTGAGTCAGGTTGTGACACAAGGTCATTTTTAACGTGGGGACCCGAGTGAAAACACTCGGGCCACAGGTTCAAGCTGCTCTTAGCTGGTCATAGCTTCTCCAAGATGATCAGTGCCGGTTCAAGCTAGTCGTGGCCGTGATACCACCAGCAGCAGGGACGGATCCCTGGCACATGTAGTAAGAAAGGTAGGAATGCGTTTTTCTGGTGTAAGGAATATTGTTGTATGTCTGGGTCAGTGTTTGTAGCTAGCTAAGTGTTGCAGTTTTTTGTGTATATTATGTACTAGTGAGCCAGTCCAAATGATTTGACTCACTTTATAGTCAACTAATACGTAGAATATTCAATCCGTCATGTATAAAGGCGGCCATTTTGTTTACTCTATCCGAATGTCCAGTGCCAGCTTGTCAGGCGAAGAGGAACAGAAGGAATAACTACGCTCTGCTACTTTTACCGGGATATCCACTGCTAACCTGAACTACGCTTCCCTACTGTCTTCGAAATATTCACTGCTAAACTCTGGATTCTATACTCAAAGACGACCGTCATCATGAACAACATTGGTTATGAGCGCAGACCACGACTATATTTTGATGGGAATGAATCGAGATATGAATTATGGGAAACGACACTTAACGTTAAGACAGAAAAAGACTGTCCTTTTTTCCCCATTCCCCATTTTGGCCTTGCGCCATTTTTTTTCTGTACATGGCAGAAATACATATCCGCTCTTCACTATGTTACCTAGTCATTTTGAATTTAAGCGCAGTACCAGACTGGTATCAAGATCTAATCAATTCGCAGTGCTTAGATGTAACCTTAAAGTATGTGCTGACAGTTTCTTTTCTCGCACTTCTCGCTTGTGGAACTCCCTTTCGGCTCTATGCTTTCCAGTCAACTTTAATCTGCAAAAAATTAAATGCAATGTAAGTCTCTATCTACAGTCAACCTGATAACTCTCTCCTCTTCCCGCTTATTATTAATGTTTCTATTCCTAATTCTTCCACACCCAGTAACCTCTTGTGTGTTAGTGGATTTGCTGCCTTGCATGGGGTGATACCGATGAAAAAATATCACTTGTAAACTTCAGTTACTTTTGATTGATTTTGTTTCTATGGATTATTTAATGCCGACATCTAAATATTCTGTACGTAATTTTATGCTTGAAACTACAGATGTTTTCCCGTTAATTTTATACTTTCAAGGTTTTTAGATATGTTATTTGTAGATCATAAAATGTATTGTTGAAAATTTAAAATATATATATATATATTGCTCGTAATTTCAATACAAAAATATATTGTTGGTACTTTTAGTATAAAAATGTATTTTTATTTTTTTAGTGTTGTATTGATTGTCATTTTGCTATAAAAATGTAATTTGGTAATTTTATTAGAAAAATGTACTGTTGGATTTTGTTTGTGGGGAATCCATTATTTGCCCATAGCTGGGACTCTAACAGGGCCAGGTTGGAGCTGGGAACAAGAGCAATTAAGAGGTGGTTCCACGATGCTCAAAGCCTCCAATCTCCCGATCAGAGGCCTTGCTGCCGGATGTAGTTTATCGTCAGACCCAGTACGAGGTACGATTACTGAATACTTGTCTCTGTTATCATTTGAGCGCCTCAGGTGAGGTCAAACTAAGTGACACATTTTTCCGCAATTAGGCTTTTCATTTCTTGTTCTTTTATCTTTATCTGTTGAAAAGACAATATTAGAGAAATTAATAATATTTCAGAATAGTCGATAAAGTATTCACCATAGAAAATATTGTCTTAATGATTCAATCGTAGAATAAATAACATATGAAGATGTGTTTTTTTTAATCAAACAAGTAGCAACAAAACTATTAAGACGCAAGGAGTTATTGAGTCTGAAAGAACATGATAAAAAGGAAGCATTATGTTGTAGCATACCTATGGACAATAATGGATATGTATGTCACCATTCACATAAATACAGTAGTAAATACTGTATGTTGGTAGGCTTTAGGAGATTTGTCTCCAGCTGTACTAGTCAAAGTCTCTTCCCAGAGGCAGAGAGGATTCCTAGATGAGGCTATGTCGAAGG